GTTATTATTACAAGGAGAGCCTCACACAGGTATGTTATTATTACAAGGAGAGCCTCACACAGGTACGTTATTATTACAAGGAGAGCCTCACACAGGTACCTCATTATCACAGGGAGTGCCTCACGGGTATATTCTTAACGCAGGGAGAGCGCGACGGGTAAGTGATCACAGCAAGAGCCTAGGGGGTGTGTGATCACAGGGAGAGCGTAGCGGGTACGTGATCACAGGGAGAGCCTGGCGGGTACGTGATCACAGAGTGAGCCTGGCGGGTACGTGATCACAGGGAGAGCCTGGCGGGTACGTGATCAATGAGAAAGTAGAGGGGCGTGCATTACAGGCATATTACCTTTTTCAAATATGTTGGACTTGGCCAAACAATGCACTTAGAACATCCCTATAGGATATCTAAGAGCTCACCATATAGCGCAGGTATTATATCTCTATAGAATGTATATAGGACAGTGGCATACAGCAGAAATATCGAATGGCCATAGATTATATATGACTGGGCAATATAATGTGGATGATGTGCAAACAGGCCAGGTAGCATAGGTACTGTCTCATATGTAAGTCTGGGCAGTACAGCTCAGTGGATCTATCTCTAGAATATATTGACTGGACCATTACAGTGCAGATACTGTATCTTGATAAAGAATATATGGGATTTGTCCATAGAACATAGGTGATGTATTCTTATCGGATGTATAGGACTGGGCCTTAAACTACACATAATGTGTCTAAAGGAGATGTAGGACTGGTGCAAAGATCACAGGTGGTGTGTATCTTAGATATATAGGGTTGAGCTGTAGAGTACACGATGTATCGATTGGATATGTAGAGTCGGCCATATAGCATTGGATGCATTATGTATTTACAGGATATATGTACATTGATCCTTAAGGATTGTGGTGTATCTGTATAGGATATATGGACTTGGCCACGAAGCAGAGGTGATATATCTCTGCTGAATGTATAAAATTTGGCCTGAAAGCATTCAACATAACCACGTAAGAACCAGGAGCAGGAGTAGACCATCTGGCCCTTCGAGCCTGCTCCGCCATTTAATAAGTTCATGGCTGATCTTTTCATGGCCTGAGTTCTACTTACCCACCCTCTCACCATAACCCTTAATTCCTTTACTATTTAAAAAATCATCTATCTTAGCCTTAAAAACATTCAATGAGGAAGCCTCAATTACTTCACTGGGCAGGAAATTCCACAGATTCACAACCCTTTGGGTGAAGAAGTCTTCTCAGTTCAGTCTTAAATCTGCTCCCCCTAATTTTGAGGCTATGCCTTCTTGTTCTAGTTTCACCCGCCAGTGGAAACAACCTCCCTGCTTCTCTCCTATCTATTCCCTTCATAATTTTATGTTTCCATAAGATCCCCCCCCATTCAATGAATATAATCCCAGTCTATTCAGCTTCTCCTCATAAACCAACCCTCTTAACTCTGAAATCAACCTAGTGAATCTCCTCTGCATCCCCTCTAGTGCCAATACATCCTTTCTTAAGTAAGGAGACCAAACTGTACACAGTACTCCAGGTGTGACCTCACCTGCACCCTATACAGCTGCAGCATAACCTCCCTGTTTTTAAATGCAATCCCTCTGGCAATGAAGGACAAAATTCCATTTGCCTTCTTAATTACCTGCTGCACCTACAAACCAACCCTTCTGTAATTCATGCACAAGGACACCCAGGTCCCTCAACACAGTAGCAAGCTGCAATTTTTTTGCGGGTCAAGTAGTAGTCCCTTTTACTATTATTCCTACCAAAATGGATGACTTCACATTTATCAACATTGTACTCCATCTGCCAAACCTTTGCCAACTCACTTAAACTATCTATATCCCTCTACAAACTTTCAGAGTCCTTTGCACACTTTGCCCTACACTCACCTTAGTGTCATCCACAAACTTTGACACACCACACATGAACCCAACTCCAAATCGTTTATGTAAATTGTAAACAATTGCAGTCCCAACACTGATCCCTGAGGCACACCACTAGTCACTGTTCGCCAACCAGAAAAACACTCATTCATCTCCACTCTTTGCTTCCTGTTACTTAACCAATCCTCTATCCATGCCAATACATTGTCAGTAGCGGCGTGCAACTTTATCTTATGCAGAAGCCTTTTGTGCAGCACCTTGTCAAATGCCTTTTGGAAATCCAGATTCACAACATCTACTGGGTCCGCACTGTCCACTGGATTTATATTGTCTTCATAAAATTTGAGTAAATTAGTCAAGCATGACTTGTCTTTCATGAACCCATGCTGCGTCTGCCCATTGGGACAATTTCTATCTAGATGTCTTGCTATTTTTTCCTTGATGATAGATTCAAGCATTGTATCTACTACAGAAGTTAAGCTAACTGGCCTATAATTCCCTATCTTTTTCGACCTCCTTGTTTGAACACTGGCATCACATCAGCTGTTTTTCAGTCTTCTGAAACTGCCCCAGGGTCCATCAAATTTTGGAAAATTACCAAGAGTACATTTGCTATTACTCCCACCATCTCTTTTAGTTCCCTGGGATGCATTCCATCAGAGCCAGGAGACTTGTCTACCTTTAGCTCCATTAGCGTGCCCAACACCACCACCTTCATGATAATGGTCGTGTGTAGGTCCTCACCCCTACCTTAGTCTCTTTGTCATTGATTACTGGCAAGTTATTCGTGTCCTCCACTGTGAAGACTGACTCAAAATACCTGTTCAATGCCTCAGCTATTCCCTCATTTCCCGTTATTAAATCCTTCTTCTCATCCTCTAAAGGACCAGTGTTTACCTTAGCCACTCTTTTTCGTTTTACATATTTATTGAAACTTTTGCCAACAGTCTTCAAATTCTGAGGTAGTTTAGTCTCAGACATCCATGGCTGATTACCCTTTTTTCTACAGTCCTTCCTCTTCACTGGTATATACTTTTGCTAAGCACTTCGAAAAATTGTTTTGAAAGTCCTCCACTGCTCTTCAAGTGTACCACTATAAAGTCTTTACTTCCAGTCTGCTTTATCCAGCTCCTCCTTCATTTTATTGGAGTCTCCTCTGTTTAAGCACAGGACCCTGGTGCTGGATTTTATCTTCTCCATCTGTATTCTAAATTCAACCAAACTGTGATTGCTCCTTCCAAGTGAATCTCTAACTATGAGATCATTAATTATCCCTGTCTCATTACACAGGACCAAATCTAGGAAAAGCTTCCTTCCTCCTCAGTTCCATTACATACTGTTCGAGAAAACTATCGCGGATACATTCAATGATCTCCTCCTCAAGGCTGCATTGACTGACCTGGTTCGACGAATCGACATGTAGATTAAAATTTCCAACAATAATTGCCGTACCATTTTTACAGGCATTAGCTATTTCTTTGTTTATTGCCAGTCCCAATGTGATGTTATTTGGTGGCCTATAGACTATGCTTATCTGTGACTTTTTCTTCTTAAAATTTCTAATTTCCACCCAAATGGATTCAACCTTATTCTCCATAGAATCTGTATCATCTCTCTCTACTGCTCTGATGTCATCCTTAAATATCAGAGCTACACCACCTCCCTTACCTTCCTGTCTGTCCTTCCGAATAGTCAGACACTCCTGGATGTTTAATTCCCAGTTGTGACCGTCCTGCAACCATGTCTCCATAATGGCTACTATTCGCAATGATTTGTGCTGTTAACTCATCTACCTTGTTTTGAATGCTGTGAGCATTTAGGTAAAGTGCCTTTATACTAGTTTTTAAACCTTCTTTTTGAATTTGAACATCTCCATTAATAATATCTCCTGAGTTTTCCTTCCTTCTAACTTCTTTCATAGTCTTCGCTGTAGTTAAACTCTCCTGCATAAATGTTAACCTGCTGTTTCCTTTTCTATTTACCATTATACTTCCTGTCATTTTCCACTTCCCTTCCCCCCCCATTTCACTAGTTTGACGTCCTAGAGACCACCCTGTTTATCCTTTTCACTAGAACACTGATTCCAGATTGGTTCAGGTGAAGACTGTCCCATCGGTACAGATCCCTCCTGTTCCAAAACTATGCCAAAGCCCCATGAAATGGAACCCCTCTTTCCCATTACCACTCCTTTAGCTATGTATTTACTTCCTTAATTTTCTTATCCCTATGCCAATTTGCACGTGGCTCGGGTAGTAATCCGGAGATTATTACCCTTGAGGACCTGTTACTTACTTTTGTTCCTAGTGCTTGATAATCCCCAAACAGGTCCTCCTTCCTAGCTTTGCTTATGTTGTTTGTCCCAACATGGACCACAACAACTGGATCCTTGCCCTCCCGTTCCTTTCAAGCCGGTCAGAGATGTTCCTCACCCTGGCACCAGGCAGGCAACGCACCATGTGGGACTTTCAGTCCTGCTTGCAAAGGATGCTATCAATCCCCCTAATTACAGAATCCCCTAGGTAAGTTAGATTTATACTAACCACGCTCTGGGTGCTCCCTCCAACTCCGCTCCCTGAAAACAAGGCTGCGAATCCCCGAGATAAGTTAGATTTATATTACTGTGCTGTGGGTGCTCCTCCCTCTGACTCCGCTCCCTCGAAACAAGGTGGATGGGGGCTCAGTTGATACTTCAAGAGTGAATTTGATTATCCTCTGGAAAGGAAGAATGTACAAGGTTACCAGGAGAAAACTGAAGGGTTGGCAGGAGATGAGATGTTAATTTTGAGAGCCAGTGCAGACATGACTGGCTGAATGGCATCCTTCTGCCCTGACAGAGGTATGTGATAGGACTGAACTGGCATTTACCAGGCCATAGAAAATTGTAGTTAATGTGGCTGAACTGCTTTATAACGAGTAACCTAATCTGGTCACCACAGAGTGTATCATGGCATGCATGGAGCAGGACTGGGCTGTTATGGGTATAGTCACTCAATACAGTATCCTGGTCGTGGGTGATAACTGATTCCAGATGAGCTGAATGTTACTGCTGCATGTGAGACAGAAACTTGGAATTTGAAATGTGACCCCAGCATTTGTAATTGCAAAAGTTGAAAGTGTAATATTTGGGGTTGGGAACTACTTAAAATAGGCAGTCAACTATTGATAAGTACTTTGAAGATAGTTTATTAAGAAGCAGCAGTTTAGATTGGATGTGTACAACCTGTGATGGCTGAGGTGTGGTCATGGACACCAGAGGATGATCAAATCATTGTACAGTTTATGTCCTACTCGAAGCTGTTCCTTGGGCCTCCTCTATCTGCTCTGGCCTATCTCCTGATGAGCACTACTTTCCAAAGAGAGAGCCCTGCCCTTTGACGAGGGCTTATAAACATAATAAAATTCACCGAGTTGGTAGTTTATACTATCAGTCATCTTTTTGAATTCAGCGCAGGTCGCAAAATGTCAGGATGGTCACCTCGGTCCTCCAGCATGAGCTCAGCTTCTCAGGTTGTACTGTTCACCTGGCACTTTCTAAAACCAGCTGAAAAAGTACACAGGACACAAGACACAATCAGACCAACTTTGGAATATCTGAACTGAGAGGAGACTGACAGTTCCAGGGAGCGAAAGAAGATTGTTTCTCTGCTGAGGTGGCCTTACACTTTTGCAGATTGATTCTGAATTATTTTTAGTTTTCATGGAATGTAGCATCACTGGCTGGGTCAGTATTTCTTCTGCAACACAAACAAAAACAGAAATTGCTAGAAGAGCTCAGCAGGTCTGTCAGCAATTGTGAGAGAAATCAGAGTTAACTGGACCGGAAACATTAACTCTGATTTCTCTTCATGGATGCTGCCACACCTGCTGAGCTTTTCCAGCAATTTCTGTTTTTGTTTCTGATTTCCAGCCACTGCAGTTTTTTTTGGTTTTTGTTTGTTTCTCCCCCAACCCTAATTGACTTTAAATTGAGCTGCTTGCCAGATTATTTCAGAGGGCAGCTAAGAGTCAACCAGGTTACATGTGACTCCAGAGCCACAGCATGCCAGAGTGTAGAAGGACAGGAGATCCCCTAAAGGGACCCCGGATGTGTTTTACAACAATCGACTGTGGTCGCTGTGAGAGTAGCTTTTTAGGTGTTTTCTTTTACAAAATTCAGAATTCGCCATCTGCCACGGTGGCATTCAAGCCCATGTCCTCGTAGCCTGGCACTGTGGATTAGTGACATTACCACTGCACCACTGCCTTCCCCAGATGAATATTTCCATAATTATTCAAAAATGTAATGTTGAATGGAGTTCCAGTCATTTACTGGGACATATGTGTGTGTCTGTGACAATGTCAATCTGTGGGGAATATGGTCATTAAGTCGGGGAGGTGCTGGTCACTGGGCAAGACATCCCAAGGCTTTGGCCTGCAGGATCTAGAGCCCTTCATAGCAGCTGGTGGAATTTAAAGTCCATTCATGAAAATTACGGAATTTCAGGTGACTTTAGTGAAGCAGATGTGTTTTTACAAATGTCCAACAAGGAATGAAATCTAAAACAGTAATTGCTGGAAAAGCTCAGCATCCATGAAGAGAAATCAGAATTAATGTTTCGGGACCGGCGACCCTTCCTTAGAACTGCTGTCAGACCTGCTAAGATTTTCCAGCAATTTTGTGTTTGTTTCTGATTTACACCTCCCGCAGTTCTCTCGGTTTTTAAGGAATGAAATCTTCTGTCCTTACCCAGTCTGTAATATTCATGTAATACAGACCACTGGCATTTTCTGTGTCCACACTTAATTACCCTCTGAATTAGCCGAGCAAACTACTCAATTCAAGGGCAATTAGGGATACACAACTATTGCCAGGCTTGTCAGTGACATCCTCAATCAATGCAAAAATAAAATAAATTGATGAATGTCCTCAATTTCAGGGAAGTGTCAGATGCAGTGACAGAAGGATGAGGAACAGAGGTGAACACCTGGGAGATCCTCGACTGAAGCACAGAGTTAAACAGGTACGTGGAGAGAACGGGGAGACCGACAGCCTGGGAGGACCGAGCCTGTGGCTCTCGAGTAGGTTGGCTCAGGTCAAGGATTGAGCATTGAGGGGCAACTGGATCAAAGGTCAAGGAAGCAGGGACAGAGGCTGGGCTGAAGGAGCTGGGTTGGTGGGGGGAGCAGGCTGAGTCATGGGTGATGAGGATTTTATCAGTATTAATAACTTAATATTCCCTCTTTCTGTCTTTCCCACTCCCTACCCCTTTTTTGGTTCTCTCCCACCCTCCCTGCCACAGTATCTTCGAAATAGCAGGGATGAGTATGTGGATATTGGAATTCTGGCTGCAGATCTCCAGCGGTTGTATAGGTGAGACCTGCCTCCATCAGATCACCCTGAATTTAAGACCATAAGACATAGGAGCAGAAAATAAGCTATTTGGCCCATCGAGTCTGCTCAGCCATTCAATTATGGCTGATAAGTTCCTCAACCCCATTCTCCTGCTTTCTCCCCGTAACCCTTGATCCCCTTGATAATCAAGAACCTATCTATCTCAGTCTTAAATGTACTCAATGACTTCAATTTCACTGGAAGCTGTTTTCTCTGATGTGGCTGTGGAGATTCTGAATAAGCGAGTCTCTTTCTCTGGGAAGAGGAAGCTTGGTCCAGATGTTGGTGCTGGTGCTTCTTGCATCCTGCCTTCCACTTTGATTTTCAGACGTGTTGGTGGCCAAGTGACAGAGATACTGTGCAGTTCTTGGTTGGTTTTGTGTCGTTCAGGATCACCCTTTCACCTGTACCATTGGTGCTTTTTATTCTCCCTCCCTGTTGCCCTTTCACTCAGATGGCTCTGAATCTTTTTGCCTTTTCCAGAGACACTCAATCACTGAGTTTCTCACGATTAAGTTGCATTTATTTTACCATATTACGTGATCTCTGGATAGTGGAGTAAAGTGAAATAGAGGCTGACTGTGGTGAATGGCAGAACAGGCCAAAGCATTGAATGATATTCCCCAGTCTTATTCCTTTTGGTTTTCCTCTACCCCCTAAGCTATTGCTGAGATATAATGTCAGTGCTGAGCTATTTCTGTCTGTTATTTGACCTTTTGCTTCTAAAGTGAGAATTTGGACAATGTAAACACTTCTTTCCTCCCACTTCTCCACTGCCCCCCAATTTCTTCCTACCCCCCCCAATAGCTCAGATTATGGTCGCAGGAAGAGGAACGCCTTCAGGATCCAGGTGGATAAAGGTGAGTGATTTGTCCTTTTGAAGGATTAAGAGAGACCTTGCTGTTTGACAGGGCACATTGGAACCACTTGGGAACAGCGAGATCTTTAGGGCAGGATACTGCTGAGTCCCTCTGGGTCTGTTTAAATTGGTCAGTTGCCCAATGGTGCTGATGCCATCCCTCACGCCCTTCTCCAATAGGGTCCCTGGATGGAGAACAGGAACATGAATCCATGTGTTGTTAAATTGCTCTGGTTGGATTACTTGAGGATTGATTGGAGGACAGAGGGCAATTGGCTCAGTCTGTGAGATACACACAAATATTTATGATTTGTGAAAATTGGAAAATCATTTCGATATTACTGGGTTAAAGAGGGATGTATCATGTGATTTTTTTTGGAAAATGTAATGGAGACTGGAGGGTAGTGAATGTTGTGCCCTTATTGAAGAAGGGCCGTAAAGAAAATCCTGGGAACTATAGACCAGTAAGCCTTACATCTGTGATGGGTAAGTTACTTGAGAAGATTCTGAGGGATAAGATATACATGCATTTGGAAAGACAAGGTTTGATTAGGAGTAATCAGTGTGGCTTTGTGTGTGGGAGATCATGCCTCACAAATTTTTTAGAGTTCTTTGACTTGACCAGGAAGGTTGATGAGGGCAGGGCGATAGACGTAATCTATATGGATTTCAGTAAATCCTTTGATAAGGTTCCACATGGTAGGCTGTTCTAGAAGGTTAGAGCACATGGAATCCAGGGAGAGCTGGCAAATTGGATACACAATTGGCTTGATGGTAGGAAGCAGAGGCTAATAGTGGAAAAATGCTTGTCGGAGTTGGGGCTTGTGATTTGTGGTGTGCCTCGGGGTTGGTGCTGGGCCCATTGCTGTTTGTTTTCTATATCAAAGATTTGGATGAAAATGTACAAGCTATTGTACACATAAGCTTGCAGATGACACTAGAATAGGCGGTATCGTGGACAGTGAGGAAGGTTATCAGAAATTGCAGCAGGATCTTGATCAGAGTATAGAAGTTGGGAAGGTATGTTGCAGTTGTGCAGATGTTAGTGAGGTCACACTTGCAGTATTGTGTTCAGTTTTGGTCACCTTGCCATAGGAAGGATGTTATTAAACTGGAAGGAGGGCAGAAGAAAGTTACAAGGTTTTTGCCAGGACTCAAGGGACTGAGTTATAGGGAGAGGTTGGACAATCTAGGACTTTTGTCTTTAGAGCGTAGGAGCCTGAGGGGTGTTCTTATAGAAGTGTATAAGATCACGAGAGGCATGGATAGGATTAATGCACACGGTCTTTTTCCCAGGATTGGGGAATCGAGGACTAGAGGGCATCAGTTCAAAGTAAGAGGGAAAAGTATAAATGGAAACCCGAGGGGCAACTTTTTTACACAGAGGGTGGTACGCATGTGGAATGAACTGCCAGCGGAAAGGGTTGAGGCGGGTACATTGATAACATTTAAAAGGCATTTGGACGAATACATAGAAAGGAAAGATTTAGAAGGATATGGGCCAAGTGCAGGGAAATGGGGTTAGCGTGGATGGATATTTTGGTTGGCGTGGACCAGTTTGGGCCAGAGGGCCTGTCTCTGTGTTGTAGGACTCTATGACTCAAAAGAGCACTGATTTATTTACTGTTTACTAGAAAAGCAAACAAGTTTTGGAGAAGGGAATAAAGCAACCTTTTTAACAGAAGATAAGATTGCTTTAATGGCCTTAATGCCTTGACAAACAAATCTGAAGAGCAATAAGAACATAATGTAAGAACAGGGAGTAGGTCATTTAGCCCCTTGGGCCTTCTCTGTCATTTAACACAATCATGCTGATCTCATCTTGGCCTCAACTCCTTTTTCCTGTCCACTGCCCACAACCCTTTAACCTGTTACTAATTAAAAACCTGAGTATATCCTGCTCAAATTTATTCGGTGTCTCACACCGTGCTCTGTGATTGTAATTTCCATTGGCAGTTGAAAGAAAACTGAAAGGAGGGAAAACATCTCTCTCTATTTCAGAAAATAAAAGATGACCCTTAAAAGAAAACCAGCTAAATATTTCAGTGAAGTATTTTCTGGGAATCAGAGAAAGTTATAGAAATCGCTACCTCTGTTAATTCAGTCCAGGGTCCTGGGTCTAACCGATCTTCTGGCCAAATTGAGGTGTTTCCATTGTTCTGCAGCTGACAGCAATGTGATCTTGTTGACAGGAAACTGAAGGATCTGAGAGAAGTTAGCTATGTCTACTTTTTTTTAGTTTGGATTGGTGATCCACAGGGTTTCTATTTCCTGATTTTTCCAGCCTGTAATGTGTCTTCATAACTATGTCCAGTCCTGCCTGTGTATGATTGTTGTGTGTTTATGTGAGAGATTAAAGGAATGTCGTTTAAATCTGAGTAGTACCTTAATTAGTAGCCCATTTTGTCAATTGATTACAGACTACATTTGTTCTGAATAAACAAGTTAATTTTGAATTCATTGAGGTAATCTGGTGAAAGTTTCAGAGTTCGAAATGCAGGTCTCTTCAAGCGTCAACTAGAACAGCTCCAGAGTTAATTTGAGAGCTGGGTGATGGTCAATGGATTTTGTCTGAATTCTTCCCCAGTCAGGAATTGGCTTCTCGACAGGGAGAGGGTCCAAGATGGAAGGTGGAAACTGGTGTTGGTGCTAAAGTATAGATTGACAATAAAACCCTTGTAAAGCTCTGAAAGCCTTTTGTTGCAAAATTCAACATTTGGGCATTGATTTGTGAAAAGATAACTGTAATAAATTAGTTGTTGATTCAATGAAATATTTACACTTTGTATTCCTCCTGTCAGAGTCATAACAAAAGTTAGGGGTCTACGTTTGGGATTGTATTGACATGGCTAAAAGGAGATTGGATGTAAAGTTGATGAAGACTTTTCAAAAGAAGGCATCAACAGTCCCCAGCCTGACACAAACAACACGAAGGAAATGCAAATAAATCCCTTCTTTGTATATTTGTGAGGTGTAAATATTTATTGCATAGCTTCATAAGGGCATAGTACAGTTTGGTCAAACATTCCATATGTGTCTGGTGGAAAAACCTGACGGTACAAAGGCAGCTTTAACACCCACACTGATTGCTGAAGAATCGTTTTATACGGTATTAGTAGATTATTGTAGGACCATTACAGGAAATGAGAGCAGGATACCAGTATTTTTTACAGTTATGGAAATGATAAACCGATTTCCAAAAGCTATTCCTTTCAGTACAGTTAAAGCTGTAGTAGTGGAAAAATTAACTCCATTTTTTTTTTACTTGTTATAAACTGCCACAAAAAAACACAATCGGACCAAGATTTCAACTTTGCCTAAAGTTCTTCAAGACATTGTAATTAAGTTGGGTTAAAACAGTTGAAGTCTATATTGTATCATCCATAACCACAGGGAGTTTAGAGAGACACCATCAGACTCCGTCAACAATGATGAAAGCATATTGTCATGAATATCCTCGGGATGAGGATAAAGGGTTGGATTTCCTGTTATGAGAGATTCCCCAAAAGAATCTACCGAATTTAGTTCATTTGAATTAATCTACGGCCATGAGAATTGATTAAGGATGTTTTTAAGACAGAAGGGCAAAACCTAATTGTAGAATTACATGTCCATATTTCTAGAGAGACAGAAGGAGCATTTTAAAACGTCTGGCAACTATTAAAGCATGTGTTGAATTCCCTTTTAGGAGATTCCTTCCGTCACTACAGAGTTCTAGGGGATGAGGGGTCGACTGAGTGATAGGTTAATGAGAGAGATCAAGGTAAATCTTACCCTGTGGGCCCATCCGTCTCACATCACCGTCACAGAGGCGATCACTTATTCAGTCCGTCTAGAAGTTCCGTATATGTTGGAACCCCACCGCTGCCACCAAATGTTGAGTTCCCTTTTAGGAGATTCCTTTGCACTTGATACAAACGCAATACGCCAACTTCTGTGAAAAGCCACAGTTTATTTAAGCAAGTACAAATTTTGGAGGATCACTTAACAGTCTTCGCAGGGCTTGCGGAGCCGTGTCAAGCGATGCTCTCTGTAAGGGAACCGTCCTCCCTTTATATAGGTTTTTACAGCACAGTCAGACATGCATACAAGATACAATTATTTTCTCTCCCATAATCACGTAACTTAATCATCTAACAGTAAAACAAAGGTTAGCTGCCCAAAAACAATGTGTAAGACGAGGTAGTTCCTTATCCTTTTAGCATTTACAGAGAGCAGAGTATAATTAGATTATCACCTTTTGTCTGCGAGATCTTTTTAGCCTTAGTTCAACATTTACAGAGAGCAGAGTATAATTAGATTACCCCGTTTTGTCTGCGAGACAGGGGCGCCCACCAAGCACCTAATTTCTTATATGTCAGCAGAACAGATATTAACCCTTTAACATTTCACATGGGTACATAAACATGCTGCGTTCCATCAGAAAGTGCCTTGCCTAAAAATTATCATTGTTAAATTAACTTAAACCTGTAGTTTGGCGCTACCTTGCAATCCTAGCCAATGGCTGTGTGTTTCACTGACATGTCCTCACTTGTTTCTGCAGTGTTTCAATCCATCAGGAATGAAATGTCAGATTTGGAGGAGGAACATCTGGTCAAACGGGCTAGACAGAACCGTACAGAGGATGGGTAAGGTATCTGGGCCTGTCAAGGACCTTGAGGATTCATACTGGAATACCACGGGTCGGGGACAGGGTAGAGGGAGCTTGACTCCGTATCGAATCCTATGCTGTCCTGTCCTGGGAGTGTTTGATAGGGCCAGTGTCGGGGAACTTTGCTTTTAGTTTAAAAGAATAGGGGGAACTTGCCTATGTGCTGTTCTTGTCCATTTATTGCTATTGAATCCATGGCAACTTGTATTTTTCAGGAGGGGCATGACCTCTGATTCGTCTGACAGTGAGGATTACCCCGAATACCCGGTAGGTTGATTTTGTAAAGGCTTGTTTGAGCTGAGTTGCAGACCAGTGTCTGCATCGAACTTTGCTCAGTGTGACCTGCTTGCCTGAAGGAGAAGTGGGTTCAGGGGCTTGCCGTAGGCTGACGCACCAGTGCTGAGTGGAGACTGTTAACATTGACAAGACTCTGAACTGAAGTCTGATCTGTTTGCTCCAAGGCTTGTTGGAGATTATCTCTCAGTATTCACACAACAGCAATAAATGTTGTGGAAGCTTGCTGTGCACAGCTGACAGCAGTGGCTTGGGGGTTGAGGGGACGCCAGTGGGCTGTGTTGAAAACTGAAGGAGAATCTGTATAACTGTTAGGCTTGGACTGTTCTTGAATTTCTGGATCATTGGTCATTTCCTGGTTGTCAGGTCAGGGTTCACTTTGACCAGGCCCCCCGGGGTCAAGGTTCAGCTTGACCGGATCCCCGCAGTCAGGTTTCAGTTTGACCAGGTCCCCTGGGGTCAGGGTTCAGTTTGACCAGGCACCCCAGGGTCAGGGTTCAGTTTGACCGGGCCCCCCGGGGTCAGGGTTCATTTTGACTGGGCGCCACGGGGTCAGGGTTCATTTTGACCGGGCGCCACGGGGTCAGGGTTCACTTTGACCCCCCCCCAGGGTCAGGGTTCACTTTGACCGGACTCCCGCGGCCAGGGTTCAGTTTGACTGGGTCCCTCGGGGTCAGGGTTCAGTTTGACCGGGTCCCCCAGGGTCAGGGTTCACTTTGACCGGACCCCCGCGGTCAGGGTTCAGTTTGACCAGGCCTCCCCGGGGTCAGGGTTCAGTTTGACCGGGTCCCCCACGGTCAGGGTTCAGTTTGACCGGGTCCCCCACGGTCAGGGTTCAGTTTGATTGGGCCCCCCGGGGTCAGGGTTCAGTTTGACCGGGCCCCCTGTGGTCAGGGTTCAGTTTGACCGGGCCCCCTGTGGTCAGAGTTCACTTTGACCGGGTCCCCGCCGGGGTCAGGGTTCATTTTGACCGGGTCCCCCGGGGTCAGGGTTCACTTTGACCGGACACCTGCAGTCAGGGTTCACTTTGACCGTGTCCCCCGGGGTCAGGGTTCACTTTGACCGTGTCCCCCGGGGTCAGGGTTCAGTTTGACCAGGCGCCCCGGGGTCAGGATTTACTATGACCGGGCCCCTCAAGGTCAGGGTTCACTTTGACCAGTCCCCCCAAGGTCAGGGTTCACTATGACTGTGCCCCTTGGGGTCAGGGTTCACTTTGACCATGTGCCTGTCTCCTCTGAGTGATTAACATCATTATTTTTATTTTCTCCATAGCTGACCAATCACATGAACACGTCACTGCTGAGCCTATACCGGAAAACTAATCCAGACCCTCCGTCTACTCCAGCTGCCAGAAAGGTGCCAGAGGGTGGTAGCACCCATGGGCATGAAGCCCCTGGAACAGTGGGTCAGTCAGGAGAGTCACTGCGAGGTACAGTGTTGTCTGAGGGCGGCTGGTTTATTGACAACACGCCGGGAGTACCCCTTTCCAAGGACCGCCCGGTCGATGTGAAAGAATCAAGACGACAGAATTCTGAGGTAACAGCCAACACTACCCCGTCCCTGTTTTCCCAAAATCTGTGGCTTCGTTTTTTACAAAATGTAACAATTGGGAAGTTAATATCACCTCCTCCCCACCCTGGGGTATAGCCCTTGCTCTCCCCACCCCGGGGTGTGATTCCTGCCTCCCCCATGCCCCACAGTGAAGCTCCTGGAGTGCTGCCTCTGGCTCCTTCCCACCCTGGGGCCCCTAACTCCCTCACCATGGAACTTGCCTCTGCTCCCTGCCCCTCTCAGCCCTGGGCTTGTTGCTTTGCTCCTGGCTGAGTGTTTATTGAGGTCTTGCTGCTGGAAGTAAAGACTGTTTTACTCTGTTCCAGAGGTTAGAAGCTTCACCAGTGGATCGGGCTGAGAGGAAGCGAAGGAGACTGAATAAAAGGAAACAGCAAGATAGAGAAGAGTCAAAGGATGTGGATGCTCAGATAGAGTCATCTGCACTGAACAGAAAAGGTGTGTTACTGACCCTGAAAAGGTTAAATCCTCCCTGGAACTGGGGAAGGAATTGTGTCTGTTGACAGCATTTTTAGTCTTTGCTCCTCAATGACAGCCAGCATCTCTGCCCTTCTCTCTCTCTCTCCTCCCTCTACATGTTCCTCCATAGTCAAATGGCACACCCCCACTCTTCCTCTGCTCATCCTCTTCTGACCTCCACCCTGCCGGCCACCCGTGTGTCAGGAGAAGACTGCTTCACCCCTCTCTCCCACCCCTGGAAACATTCCTCATGGCCGCTCAATAACTAGCCCCCAAAACAACCAGGATAGAACACACACTACCTCCCCAGGCCAAATGTCCCTGAACTCGCCCCAGTCTGATCTCCCCATCACCTTCCATGTGCCAGTATCTGCTCGATTCCTGCACCTCCTTCCTGGCCTGACTTTCCTACTCGATACCACCTCCCCAGCCAGCCCTGACCCTAAACGGGTTGTGATAGTCTGCAGGAGTTTGTGTTAGCCCTGACCCTGACCCTGACCCTCACCCTCACCCTCTGCATCAGGCAGTTGCACTCACTTGTATCTTTCTCTTCTTTTAGCTGTGAAGAAAGGCTTTGAACTGCAACATTCGACCGTGACATTTGAGGATGTTGGTGGCTGTGAAGGAACCTTAAAGGTAAAGAGCAGCCGGCTAGGCTGGCGGTGATGGTCTATATTGCTCTATACCAGCC